GATCAAAGACATCTCTATCTGCAGGCCGGGCGCCTCCGGGCGCATCGCTGCCCCCCTCAGGACTCATCATTTCCTGGGTGTTATGCTTCCGTGCGTCATGCAGAAGTTAGGCTGTCGTTGGACAGAAGTTCTGGACTCGTTCTGAATCCTCTATGTTTACGCCCACAATAGAAAGAATCCATAGAAAGTTCAGAGTTTAGGAGATTCTGGGACGTCAGGCAGACGCTGGAGAAATCAGCAGGATGTGACAGGAGCCTCGGGGGGTGGATGATCCAGGAAATAAAAACCTGCCTAGTTCACTCATCCTGCTCACTGAGCCGTGCAGCTGGATATTCATTATTTCAAACTAATCTCTGTACAAACTTTTTACTTTTCTGGACCTGATTTTCTCTGGTTGGACTGTGAGTTGGGAGCTTGAAGGAAACATTTAATCATTCAGTGATCATTCCAATCATACAAACTGCCACAGTGTTGGTTTTGTTTTGTCCAACAGGAATAAAGCAGCTAAAGCAGCATTCATTTTTTAAACCATTGCTGATCCTGGGGTTAGATAAAGTTTAATTCTGCAGTCCTCATCAGGCTGCTGTAGCCTGGAGGAGACCCCGGATGGTAGCTGCTGCCTAATGAATGAGGGAAAACGCCACGGAGCGTTTCATAGCGATAGCTGGTCTCTGAGAAGCAGCCTTTAGCTGCTGCATGGCTGATTTCCGGCCCTGAGCAGAGCTGGTCGCCTGTTTCTGAGAATTCCTTCCTGTTGAGCTCATTCTGCTTTCATCATTTCCTGTTGACTCTTAGATCCCCGCTCCCTTCTTGTTCATGCTGGTTATCAAAGCTGAAACTAGCAAACGGCTAAATGCTTATTGATAATAATTCTGCCGTTGTTGCCGCCTGGTTGTTTCTGTCTAACTGTTGGTCTGTTTCTGTCCCCCTGAAACAGGACCGGAGGTGCAGCGGCAGTTCCCTGAAGACTACTCTGATCAGGTTCAAACACAATGAAAGGTTTCAGTCTGTAGAAAGGTTCTGGTCTTTGCTCTGTGGGATGATTGGTGCTCTGTGTCTCACAGGAAACTCTCCTCACTGTGCCAAAGTTCTGCTTCCCCTTCAGCATGGACAGGTACGCCCAGCAGCAGCTGCAGCTGCGCCCTAAACACCCGCTATCCACACAGCCTGAAGCTGATCAGCCATGCGTCGTTGTTCTTTAACACTTTGGGAACCGCAAACAGTGACCGACGGAAATGAAATGCATCCGATAAATTAACACAATATGGTTAAGAAAAATACAAATAAAAGATTAAAACAAGGGGGAGTCCAGATTAATCACAATCTGCAGCAATTTAAAAATGGCTGTAAGTTGATGTTTACATACGAATGCATAAAAATGACTGGGCGGCTTTATTTTTATTTTTTTCAAAGTAAAAATAAAAACCTAAAAATCTGATTATTTTAACAGGCAATCAGTAACATTTTGCAGGTATGCAGTGACTTTTACTAAAGTACAGACCTGCTGACAGGCTGATTTATTAAAATAAGTTCTACAAAACATGTTTTATTGTTTTATTTCTATTTTTGTTTTTTCTTTTAGCCTAAAAGACCTGACAGAAACTTTTAGATTTCTAATCTACAACCTAGCTTGTGATAAAAAAAAAAAAAAAAAAGATCAAGCTTTTGGCCCCTGGGACCAAAGGTTAGGACTCCACTGACATAGATCTATAGACAGAGACATAAGGAAGATATATTTCTATGTCCAAATGACCAAAATGTAGGAAACTGAGAGATGGAGCCGGTCCGTTTCTCTCTGCTTGGAGGCTGAACTGCATGAGTTCAATGCTGCTGATAATCTGACTAAAGTTTGAACGTTCTAGTAGCTAATGCGTTCATGCTCTCTGTTGCCCTCTGCAGCCTGACAATCAACCATGTCGGACAGAATTTCACATTCGTTTTGACGGACATTGAGAGCAAACAAAGATTTGGTTTCTGTCGGCTCTCCTCAGGAGCTCACACCTGCTACTGCATTCTCAGGTGAGTATGTGTGTGTGAGGGGTGGCGGTTGTAATCACAGAACATAGAAGGCAGTAA